TTTGCTTCTGTATCTGGTTTTGTGACAGTTTTAAAGACACCAGCAGGCCACGGAATTCACACTGGAGCCAGCCCAGCCTCAGCTGCTGTCCTTGCCAACATATGTTTAACCCGCTGTTCTCTCGCTTCTGTAAACACACTGTCTTCTTTCAAACCTCAAATTAATATGATCCTTCCCCTTTCCTTTCAAATCCTGCCTTCCAGCCACATGCCCAGATTTCAGATTTACAGACACATACCTGATAGGACTTATGTGCACAGAGACTCAGAGGCGAGCAGATCTGTTTCCACAGGCCCCAGACTCCTTGGCCTCCCACATCCTGCGTTACAGACTGTCCCATGGACACACAGCGGTCAGGTCGTCGCAGAACACTGTGGAGATCTTGTGAATACAGGCACGCAGACATTCAGGGGTCCCAGCCGCAGAGAGTCACAAGGACAGAGGCCCTGAAGGTCAGATGCTCAGATGGACAGACCCACAGACACTGACAGAAATACAGGGGGGCAGTCATGGGGTCACGGGAACCACAGAACAGCCAATCATTCCCAGACATGGTCATGGGCTGAACTGCGTCCCCCCAAAATTCACATGTTGAAGTTCTAGCCCCCAGCATCTCAGAAAGTGACTGTTATTTGGAGACAGATGGTGCTTTAAAAGGGGTTATTAAGGTTAAATGAGGTCATTGGGTGGCCCCGGCCAATACGACTGTGTCATAGGAAGAGAAGATCGGGACACAGAGGCCCGCAGAGGGAAGACCGTGTGAAGACACAGGGAGAAAGCCGGCCAGCTGCCAGCCAAGGAGAGGCCTCAGAAGAAACCGACCTGCCAACGCCTTCCTCTCAGACCTATAGCCTCCAGAACTGCAAGAAAATACATTCCTGTTGTTTAAGCCACCCGCTCTGTGGTACTCTGTCATGGCAGCCCTAGAAAATAAATACAGACGTGGAGACCAAGAGATTCCCCACCACACCCCTCAGCGCAACCCAGACCCGTGGCCACCGTCAAAGTCTTGCACAAAGTCCCCAATCAGTACATGTCCCATGCATGGACCTGACGCCCCTGACCTGATGGTGAGCTCCACTCCCCATGGGGACTTAGTGTGGTCCCACCTTCCAGTGTCACGAAGATATAAGAGGACAGGGTATCCAGGGACTTCCTCTGCTGGAAGCAAAATCGCAGGAAATGCTGTGATGATAATAGTTCACACATATTGAACCCCAACTGTAGGATCCAAGGACTGTTCCAGACCCTTTGCAGGAATAAACTCAGCTAACCCTCTCAACAACTCTTTGAAGTAGGTACTGCTATAAAATTCCCATTCAAGAGTTGGCACCACTGGGGCACAGACAAGTCAAGTAGCTTGCCTGAGATCACACAGCTAGCAAAAGCAAAGCTAGGGCTTGAACTGGGCCAGCCTGGCTCAAGCCTTGCTCTACCTCATAGGGCCATCTGCCAGCGGGATCAGAGACAGGGCCAAATTACAGAGGAGCTCACACACCTGCTCGAGAAGCAGGACGCTATGCTTCCCTCAGGGTACAGACTCTGCTTGGGTCTTGAGGTCCCAGGTGAGACCCTGCTGCCCTCAGAACTGTTAACATAATTTGCAAGGCCCAGTGCAAAATGAAAACATGGGCCCCTTGCTCATAAAGCAGGGAGAAAGTACAAGGAAAACTATTGAAATACAAGGCTTTTTCCCTTTCTTCAGTGGTGTCTCTCTTGACTTGCAATATTTTTTATTTGCTATTTAATGCCGCTCTAAGTAAAACAAAAAAACTTTAAATTATTAGCATGATTTTTATTTTAGATTTTGCAATGCCAGTTTTAAATACAAATAGAAGGGCATTTAACTCCTGTGTGGAGCCACCAAAACTGCATACATATTTGTACTCAGCATAGTAGGAAGACTGCGCAAAATGAACCCAACTGGTTTTACTTCACCTCTTGATAAATGCGCATCCTCCTCACAGGGTCGGCCTTTAGTTTCTGATGACTCAGGAGTCCAGAGAGGAAAGGGAACTAGGGGCTCCTTTTCCTTTCCTTCTGCATCATGTTTTCCACTTAAGGGGTTGGCTAATACAGGGAAGGATCGTGGATTTGAAAGGGTTATTGGTAGTTCATGTTTCATACAACATCACCATCTTCTTTCCACATGTCAAGCAAATTCTTACTTGAAAGTCTGGCCACCTGGGCTGTGGGCACCCCACTTCATTATCGAAGTTGCATGTTTACCTTCTAATTGCATTGGGTCTCAAGGGGCTCCCACGCCTGGTGGGTCCACCGAATGCTGTGCTCGTGAGCATCGCAAACGCTTTACGCCAGTGGGGAAGCTGGAAACAGTGGGCGCAAATACTGCATGTATGTCCTGCGCTCCTGTACCCGCTCCAATGTCCCATTGGACTTCACAGACAAAACACAACTCCAAAGATATGATTACTAAGAATTTCAAAACGACAACAGCTGAGCATTAAATAAATCAAGCACCCACCGGGCTCTCCTGAGCTCTGGTGGGACCACAAAGGCCACCTGCCCGTGAATCCAGGCTGACTGCCCTGACCATGGTCCTGTTCCGACAGCCTTGGCCACTCACAGCTTCTCCTCCCTTGGGCCCAGCTGCTCCCTCTCAGAAAGGCTGTGGCCCTCCCAGGGCTCCCTCCCCTGCCAGGTCCCCAACCTGGTCCAGCTCCTCTGCTCTGTGTCAGGGATCACTGTGTCTGCAAGTCCACCCTTTCCACTGCCCTAATTTAAGGAAGCTGGGATTAGGAGGACAGGTTCTTTGCCTGTCCCTTCATCTGAGCTGAGTGCTTCTTCATCCAATCACTTTAAGTACCACCTCTGAACCTCAAATCTTTACCTGTACCCTACGCATCTGAGTTCCAGGTGTGTTCGTCCAACTGCCTATAGGACGGTTGCATCTGAATGGCTACAGACATCTCCAGCCTGGAGTCACTCACCCATCTCCTGTCCCAAGTCTGTTCCCCATCTCAGTGTTAGGGGTCGCTGTCCTTCTGAAACCAGGGAGCCACCCTGTGTCCCTCCCGTTTGTCATCCTCTACATTCTTACTTCTGTGAAACCTATCATGTCTGCTCCAGGGCCTCCTTCCCATGCCTTAGCACAGATCTCACGATCCATCACTGCTAGGGCCATGCAGGAGTCCCCGCATGCTCTCCTCACCTTTCTGCAGCACGGATTTCGTCATGTCAGTGCCCTACTTACAATCTGCTCAGAGCTTCCCATTGCTTCTGAGTGAAATTTGCACTCTTTAGCACTGGGTTACAAGGTACACTTTCCCCCTGGGAAAAATAATGCCCTGGGGACTAAAAATAGAGTGGGCATTTGGAGGTGGGGGTGGGGGTGTTTCCTCTGCTTTCCAGAGCCAAGACATTGGGGTGGGGGCAGAAGGTGGATCTTGGCCCAGGGGATGGTCAAAGTTGGAAACCCCTCCTGAGCTGACAGTGGGTGGGTGTCCTGGGGAAATGATGTGCTGCAGGGAGGTGGGGACATGCTGTGAGACGGCCGGCCAGGGTGTGTCCTAAAACACCTGTGCAAATGTGTAAATAGGAGCCGAGCACCACAGCTGAGTGAAGCAGAGGCTGCTAAGCCATTACCAAGCTGGTTTCTTCTTCCTGAGCACACAGTTAAGACTACATTTCCCGGCCTCCCTTGTAACTAGATGGGGCCGTGTGACCAAGTACCGGCCAACAGCATATGAGGTGTGGTCGCTTCCCAGCCTGGCCCCTGGGCCCCTCAGTGACTGTGGAGCAGAGCTTTCCCTCCCAACCATGCACACTGAATTGTGACATGAGTGAGAAAGAAACTTTTGTGATAAGGCACTGAGATGTTGGTGGTCTTAGTTACAGCAGTTACCTTATCCTGATTAATCCACCATTGTCACCAGCAGTATTCAAGAGTCCTTATTTCCACAAACTCTCATTAACATTTAATATCAAACTTTAATAATGTTTTTGTGCCAAGCTGATGAGTGAAATACAGTTCACAGTAGTTTAATGCTTTATTTCCTTGATTACTAATGAAACTGAACATTTTTCAAGTTTATTGGCCATTTCAATTTCCTTTTCCATAAATCGAGTGTTTTTTATCATTTGCTGAGTGTTCTATTGGGCCATTTGTCTTTTTCTTATTGATTTGTTAGAATTCTTTATATATTCTAGATGCTAATCCCTTATCTGCTATATAAATTGCAAATATTTTCTCCCAGGCTATAGCTTGTTTTTAGCTTGTTTATGGTGTCTGTTGTCATTTAGGAGTTTTACATTTTAGTAGCATCAGATCTATCGTTTCTTTCATGTCGCTTGCTTTTGGCCAGTCTGTTTTCAGCAGTGACAACACAAGGCCGGGGAACCAGCAGCCAGGAACACAGGCCCTCCCTCTGGTGGACAGACTGGTTTTCTGACCCTCTCTGTGAGACAACAGTAGCTCCTGCTGAGGACCTCAGACTTTTGGTGAAGCAGCAGGTGGGGAGACAATGGGGACAGGACATGGGAGCGCAGGTCCCCAGGAGAGAAGAAAGAAGCTCTTCCCTCTGGGGAAAGATGGGGTCTGAGAGTCACTGAAATGGGAAAAGGTGACCATTTTGAACCCTCTGTGCAGGTTAAGAAGATATGTGGCTTTTACTCCAAGTTCTCCATGATCTGGCCTCCCTTTTTCACTTTTATTATTAACTACTCCCCTTTGTGCAGCCTTCACGAGTTACACTGAATTCTTTCCCAAACCGAAATCATACTTTCTGCCTCCAGGCCTTTTACTATGACTCTCTGGTTTTCAAGAGACAGGAGAAAAATAATGATGGCATTTACTCTGAGCCAGGTTCTGTGCTAAGCCATTTGCAAACCATTTGATCAGTCGGGATAAGTGGTTACGTTGCTGTAACAAACAACTCCAAAATCCCGGGGTCCTCCAGCTGCCAAAGTCTACTTCTTACCCATGCTACCTGTCCAGGGCACACTGGCTGTGGCTTAGCAACATATTTTCTTTCTTCCAGGACCCCAGCTTTTGGAGCATCTTCTGTCTGGAACATTGCAGTTAAGGCTGTCATTTCAGCAGGAAAGAATGTGGCAAAGCAAAGTAGCCCTTAGAGTTTCTGCCCAGGGTGACTTGTCACTTCCAACCACATTTCATTGGCCAGAGTAAGTTGCATGACCAAGACTGACTGCAAGGGGTTAGTGACCAATAAAATAATCGCCCACGTTCCACCCTTCTGCTCACCACGTTTCATTCCCTCCGTTCCCTCCATGTAGAACCTGCTCACCTCTAGGCAAACAATCCAAAGTCCCATCCAGACACTGGTTCAAGCTCCAAGTCCAGGGTTTCTGTGTGATGCCTGCAGTTCTCTTCAGTGAAAAGAGAGAACTGGCTCGTTTTGGTTCAGAGACCTATGAACCCAAAACGCCAGCTACCTCCCACCTCTCGGCCCTGTATATATACTATGGTGAAATGGGACAGGGCAATCACAGGTACACATTTCCATTCTGAAGAGGGAAGAAAAGGAGACACACGACAGCCACAGCTCTGTAGATTCTGAAACCATTCTGGGTGCACATTTTGAGAGGTCTATTCCCTGGGAGTGGGAAATGTTCCTTGAGTACGCCCCAGTTCCATCTCCTCGGAGGAATGCCCCAGTCTATTGTCCTCTATGGCTCTTGGCTCTTGGGCAACCTGCATTTTCTAAGGTTGGACCATATGGAAATCGACTTTTATGGACCAAAATGTCCATAGAACACTGAATGGAATATTGGCAATTTCATATAAGCTCAACCTATCCTCTTCCACATATGATGAAAGCCTTGGAGAATACGGCCAGTATGAGGGGTAAGCAGATTTCTCAGCTATTTTTCTTTTCTGCAAAAGTGAGGAGACCTAAGGGTGGGGGTGAGCCTTAAGCAATCACAGTCTCTTTGAGACCAGCTGATTGTTCTCAGTGAGGAGGATGGCAGTGAAGAGTAATACAACTGACTACATTATCTCACAACTATCTTAGATAAATGTTTTTATGATCTATATTTTACAGACAAGGAAAATGAAGCTCAGAGAGGTTAAATACTCTGTCCAAAGTCACATAGCCAAACATCTTTGAGAAGTTAAATTTAAGTGCACTGCTATACTGCATCCTCAAAAAGAAAAATAATTTCAAACTTCTATCATAAAGCTACAGATGGGTTGGGAGCTGAGGCGTCCAGCACATCTCTCTGTTATAATTTCCACTTAGCCATGTGATATTTTCATATGAACTTTCAGCTTCAACTTTCTGCTAATTCTTCCCATGTCTCTTGAGTCAAACAGTCAAGAGAGGAAATCTGACTGGCGCAACCATAGGTCATAGCCCAGGGAGTAAGGGTTCAAGGGGAATGATTTTTACCCCCATAAATACCTTCACACACACCACTCCCTTTGCCTTGGATTACTAAGTTCTAGCTATCTTCAGTAGTAATGTAGCTTCAGAAATTCTTTTATTACATGCACTGTGCTAAACTCATTTAACCTTCACAACCACCACATGATGTGGACACCATCATTATCCCCATTTAAAGGCAGGGAAGCCAAGGCTCAGTAAGACCAAGGGATTAGCCTTCTGATTCACATCTTAAGTTTCATGGCTGGGAATTCTGAATGAAAGCATTTTACTATACTAGGAGGTCCGATGGCACCTCTTCCTGGAAGCCTTTCCTGATTCCCCCTTGTTCAAGTAGTTTCTCTTTACTGAACACCCCCAAACCTTTCTCCTGCTCGTAGGATCTGAGCAAATTTGCCTTGTGCTATGTCTGAGAGTTGTATGGGATTCATCTCTGGATCTTCATTTGTTCATTCATTCATTCATTGACTATTTATTGAACGCCAGGCCGTGCGCAAGGCACGAGGGATATATTCAAATAGAGTCCCTGCTTTCACAGAGTTTATTGTCCGGTAGGGAAGATAGACATTAAACAGATAATGACACCGATAATTATGTAATTACAAATGTTATAAATGTTATGAAGAAGTCCAGGGAGGATATGAACATTTATAACAGGGGACCTGATTCTAGAGGGTGGGAATGATGCCTCTGAGAAAGTAGTATTTCAGCTGAGTTCTGGACAGGCACGTAGGAACTGGCAGGGCAAGAAGTGGGGGCTGGGGAGAGGGGAGAGTTTTCAAGGCACAGTTTCAGCTGGAGCCAGACCCTGAGGCTAAAAGAACTTGTGCTGAGCCTGGGTACAACAGGACAGAAGGGCAAGGGGCAGGAGGCCAGCACTTGCCTGACACTGCTGTTTGCACGAATCTCCCTAAAATCCATGCTGCCAGCCCAGCCAGAGGCTTCTGGTCCTGGCTGCAGGGGCTGGAACAAGAGGTTGTGGGCATTTTGTCTCTGGCGAGCTGGCAACCTCATGCTCCTGGGTCAGGAGGAGGGAGGCGGCAGAGGACGTGCATAGCACACTTTTTATATATGTGGGGCCATAATATTTAAGTGTCTTGGCTGTAAGCCTGTGACTAGGTCCCCCGACAGCCAAGCCTTGCTCCACACGCTCTAACAGCTGTCTGTAAAACCCGTTTATGGAGCCTCCATAAATTTCCCAGCTGCTGCAAACACAGGGCTGGGGACAAAGAGTTGGCGGGAGGGAGGCGTGGGAGAGTTGCGGCTTCAGCATCTCTGCTGGCTCGTCCTCTGGGCCCCAGCTTGCCCCTTGCCCACCCGGGGCTGCCTTACCCTAAATTCTTTTATTGAAGCTGATCTTAACATCGACCCCGTGGGGCCTGGCTGGGCAATCCAGCTCTGCACGGACACAGGCACTTTCAAGATTGCAGCAAAAGGTACAGTAAATCAGAATTAAGTGTCATGATAGTGATTTGAACTGACACTGTTTTCACCTTGTCCATTTACTGGGAAATATATAACAGGAATAGATTGAGCCTGTCATGTTGTACCTGAAAAATACAGCTGTCAGGGTAGGAAAGGCAGCTGGCACCAAGGCAGGGTCCCAGCGGACGGTGGGGTGTATGGTCAGGTCAGGGTGGGGTGGGGGTGCTTGCTGTCAGCATCCCGCTGGAACGAAGGCCTGTCCTGGGAACACTGAGGACTCAGCCGTGCTTTTCCAAGGGCCTATGTAAGGCAGAACCAGCCTGACCAGCGTCCGAGGCTGTGTCCCAACTGCTGTAGGGACTCCACGGCCAGCTCCATTGCCCTGAGGGCCCATATTGCCCAGACTACAGGGCATTTTTTAAAGACTTCCTATTGGAGTAAAACATACATACAGAAGAGTGCACATATCACTTGATTTATCTTCACCAACTGAACACATCTGTGAACCCAAAATCCAGCTCAAGAAACAGATCAGATACCCCCAGATGGGGCCCGGGGCCCTTCTTCCATTTTCTACCCTCCCTCCTCCCACAAGAGGCACCACTATTCTGGTATCTCAAGCTGTGGACTGATTTTCTACATGGCATTTTTATAAGGGCATTTTGGAATTCCCACCTGTTTTTATTTTTTGGCCCCCAAAGAACAGAGGAACCTCTCAGTTTTAAAATAATCTTTAAGGAATATAAGCAACAGATTTTGACCCCCAATTCAGAGGCGGGGTTGGGGAAAGGATAGGAAGGATCTGGGATGGGTGTGAGATGGGGGGCCAGGAGTCAGAGATGAAGTCACCGATGGGGAAGGCAGGGGCTCAGGACTGCGGCAGGCTAGGGTGCGGCTGAGCTCACACCTGGAAGAAATTCCAGGATTGGGGTGAGGCTCAGGAATGGGAGGCAGGGGCAGCATAAGGGTCAAGGATGAGTTGAGGGTCAGGCTCAGGGAGGTTCATAAACAGGGTAGAGACAAAAACAGGAGGGGCACAAGGAGAGAGAGGGTGAGAGGGACCCATGGGCCCAAACACGACATGCAAGAAGCTGAACCTTGAAGTTCTCGGGCTAAACCACTATAAAATGCAGAGGGAGGGCAAGATCTTTGCAAGCAGGATTGCTGCTGCTTCCCTCCTGACGCCCCTGCTATGGGGTGTCTCTGGCTCCCTGACCCTCCCTGCTGGAGTCCAGGCACATCCTGATTGGGCGGAGAGCCAGTTGGTGGCTATAGCACCACCAGCAGGTGGCCTCTGGTATTACTCTTCGTGCCCTGAGCTCTGTATGTGGCTCAGCTCAGATTTGACCACCAACCTCCACCTCCTCTTTCCTGATGGACCTTGAACTCTGCCCCGAGCCCATCCAGCTTGGCTGCAGCTTGAACCCTCTGCATAACTCAGGCCAGCTCCCATCCCCACAGTTCCCTGAGCTTCTGGCTGTCGACTGGGGATCTCCTGTGAGCCCAGCATCCTAGCACTGCTGTGTCACTGATGTGAAGTCTCTCCTGTCGAAGGACACCCTCAGGAGGAGATGATCCTCTCAGGTGTGGAGAGCTGTCCTTCTTGACGTCCACCTTTAAGCCAGTCCAACCCACCGTCCAACCAGGGACCACACAGCTCAGATCATGAGGACGGCCTCCTTCACTCAGGAGGCCCCTTGCTTCTGGTCACTTCCTGTCCATGCACATCTGCATCCTGACCTCATCTCCTCCTAATGCTTCACAGGAGGGCCACCCTCTCCCTGGCTTTGGTCTTCAATGCTTTGACCTTCAGCCCTGGGTTCTTTCCACCTTCGGCCGCTTTGAGGACTGTCCTCAAGACCCACATTCAGGAGTTGGACTGGTTTCTCCCTGCGTAGAAGGCAAGACAAATACCCCCCCCTCCTCTTGGCAAGACCTTCCTGGAGCACCCTGTCTGCACCCACGTTCTCACCTTGTTTAATGTCGGCTCCCCATGACACTGCAAGCTCCCCGAGGGCACGAATGGCACCTGCCTTGTGCATTCCCAGGACCCAGCTCAATGCCTGGCACAAAGATGCCAGTTTACAAACAGTGGAATGGTTGGATAGCGAATGGCTAACAGCACAGGTGTGAAGGGAAGAATATGTAGACTTGAATCCTGACACCTCTACTTTAATTGCTCTAGGCCTCACTTTTCTCATTTGTAAAATGGGATGATACCACCTTACTCCATGGGACTCTGTGAGGACTGAATGTGGTAAGTTTGGCACCATGTATTAGGAAGCACAATAAATTATACTAGTTATTAGTTCTACTTTTTTCTTACTATAGCAACAACCACAGGCGCTCCTACTCCTCAGATCACTTGGTTCCAGCATCCTCCACACAGCCTCTGAGGTCCTGTGTTGCCTCAAGCAGGCATTTGCTCATAGCCTTGGGCCACACGCTTATGCCGTCCTTGACATCACTGGAGCTTCACAATCAAGGCAAAATGTCAGCAGACCCTGTCCTTCCCTCTGGTCCCCCAGGGCCCCAACTTCTGTGGCAGGGCTGAATAAGGCCCATCTCTGCCTCCAGAGGGCTCTCCCTCCCCATGTGCTGGGCATTTGCCCTCCCCGCCTCCCGTCCCCGTGGGCAGACCAGGGACAGCCAGCCCCAGGGAGCAGTGTGGCGAGGGGAACCAGGGCCTGCTGGCTGGCTGGGCCAGGCCACATTTCTGCTGATGAAGGGTCTTTATCGACCTCCCTCTGCAGACATGGGCTGCATCACTCACAGGCCCTGGGATGGGAGCCCATTCATCTGGGGCACGGAATGCAAGGGGGCTGGGATTTCTCATTCTAGGGCGACACAGAGTTCACATCAGGAAATATTAGTCTGATGAGTTCCCTGCTAGTGAGAGGGCTGTCGGCATTAATCACGGGCTGAGGGGAGGCAGTGCTAGGCCCTTGGTCCAATCCCCCAGGGTCTCATCCTTTCTGAGAACTTCAGAACCTAGTTGGGCCTGAACACAGGATGGAAATTACTCTTGAATTACCTCAGGCCACTCTTTATCACTCTTTGAAGGCTTTCTGCCTGGGGCTAGAGCCCTTGGTGAGGACTAGGACAGGTGACTTCACTCCCCAAATCTCAGTTTTCTTGTCTGTAAAATGGGATAGATAGTTCCTCCCTCACTGGATGATTATGAAGCCAAAAAAAAAAAATCATGCATGTCAGCTGTCTGACTCTGTGTCCTGCATACAGCAGGTGCCCCACAAATGCTGATTCTAGCTTCTGCCCCTTCCCTTTCCTCTTCCTCTGTTGGATTAAATATCCCTGGATGGCAGGACCTGGTTTAGTTCTTATAATAAGAAATCCCTATATGCTGATGGATATGTGAATGAACGCAGAATGAATGTATGAATGCATGTCCTGAGTGTGCCTTGGTGAAGTGCGTGCACACATACACACATACAAGAGTGTGGTAGGTGTTCATTTAGGCCCATACACCTGAACATCTGGATTAGTAGATACATGTCTAAAATAAGTGCCCAGTACCATGTAAGTGTATCTGTCTTTGTATGTTCTGCCTAGGTGCACGTCACTTCTGGTCACTTCCTGTCCATGCACATCTGCATCCTGACCTCATCTCCTCCTAATGCTTCACAGGAGGGCCTGCAAGACTGTGTGTGTGGCGGGGGAAGGGGGGTGTCTTTGTATCTGTAGGAACTATGTAATTGTATGTCTGTTCATGGGTATTTCTACATGACTGTTTCTACGTGTACCTTATAAGCATGTGTGTGTTCTGTAGGAGTGTACATTTCTGTGTGCAAGCACATCTGTGTATATGTGGCTGTAACAGTGAATGTCTATATTGTTTCATCCAGTAAGTACCTACTGTGCCCCTGCTGTGTGTTAGGCTTTGTGCTCAGTGCTAAGGATACAGTGTCGAACAGACAGTCTCTGCTTTGGGGTTTGTTACATCCCAGCAGGAGAGACAGAAAGCAATCACCAAGAAGAGAATTAAGAGGGGTCCAGGATAGAGTTTGGGTGGGAATGGGGAAGCTGTTTAAGTAAGAATGGGCAGGCCGGGCTTCCTGATGGAGATGGCATTGAGTGGAAGTATGAATGCTGAGAAAAGAAAGCCATGTGGAAATCTGGGGTACAAGTGGTCAGACGGAGGAACAGACTGAAGCTGGGGTAGAGTGGGGAGCAGGGGCAGGAGGTGAGGATGGAAGGCAGGGAGGGACAGACTTAGGAGGGGTAAGGCATCTAGACTGCATTTCAGGACTCAAGGAGAGCTTCCGGCAGAATGGCAAGTTCTGATTTAAGCTGAAGACACTCCCTTCGGCCACTCTTGGAGGACGGGCTCTAGGCGGAGGGGAGAGGCCCTGGCCAGTAAGGAGGAGCAGAGGTGAGCAGCATGCTGGATCTGCATGGTAGTGGGGAGGGCATGGCCAGTGACTGGATACAGGACTCTTCTCCCCAACTTTTAGCTTGAAAAAGTTCCACCCCACAAACAAACACATTGAAAAGAAAGGAATAGTTTTAATATACGCTGGCTTCACAAATTTTAATGTTTCACAACATTTGGGTTCTTCCCCTGTCCCTGCATTTGAAAACTAGTTGCAGACATCACAATGTTCCAACCCATGAGAATATCTTCTATGGATAGGATATGAAAGCCTCGGTCAGGCAAAGATTCCAGGACATTCTCCAGATAACCACAGTACCACAATCACACCCAAGAGTTTAATTAACACTGATTATACATATATATATATAAAATCAATTTTTCCAATTATCCCAATTCTATTGTGCCAGAATGCAGAGATGTATTGCAAGACTGCTAAGGATGCAGGAGACAGCTTGATGGAGATGGTCAAACTTTGAAAATTTGAGCATAAAAAAGAATAATGACCTTAATGGATTATAGCCCACTGAATTAGAAAAAAATCCAGGAATCCACCAATACTCAAAGAAAAGTTGTTTACAAAACAAGGTAGAATAAAAATTTTTTAAATGGTAAGATTAGAAAAACAACCATTTTGTTATCTCCAGTGTAATAATTAATTCAAACAAAGCTCACTAACGGATTTTAAAATCATTGGATAAAATGCTAGGGACACAGAACATTCACGCAATCTCAAAGGAACATTCAACAGATGACTTTTCAATTTCAAATAAGAAAAGCTTCCTTTACAATGGCAGAATTTGGCAGGCACCTTAACCCAAGGATCAAATTTAGCATCGTGCATGGTGGGACATAGGATGTATTTTGAATGTAGACTCAACAAGGGTTGTCCTTGGATTGATAAGGAATCCAAGAGAGCAAGAAGAATCAGGACTGACTTCAAAGTTTGGTGCTTGATCATTTGGCTAAATGGCAGTGACTTACTGAGATGAGAAAGATTAGGGCGAAGCGCCCTCTGAAGGGGAATCGAGCCATCTATGTTGGCTCTGTCCAAGCTGAGATGCCCAGTCAGGTGGGCCTGTTGAACAGACATCTTGGTCTATGAGCCTGTAGCTCTTGACCATGGTTACAAGTGGAGATGGAAATTTAAGAGTCATAAGTGTACAGACAGCCATGGGCTGGATGAGATCACCTAGGGAGGAAGTCAACTTCTGTAGTTTTTAAGTCTTTTTTCTAAAAATAGCTTAATTTTTCTATTATGTGATTTATACATACCGAAAAGATTTTTGAAAAATAGAAGTGTATAAAGAACAAATTAACAATCCCTCAAACCTAACTATTTACATTTTGATGATCATACCTCAACACTTTTTTTTATCACACCCCCTTTTCCATCTCCCCGGTCCTTCCCTGATATTCCAATAACCACTGTTAAAATCTGGTAAAATCTGCTATACACTTTTACATGCCCATTCAGTCATATACAGGTAGAGCTTGCAGATCATCGTTTGTTTGACAAATGGATATTGCATTTTTAAAATTTCTCAATGAATAATATCGTGGAAACTCTTGTAAACAAATCTAGTCTTTTTAATGGCTATTTCTCATTCCATGGCATAAATATGTCCTGATTTAAACACTCTCCTCTTCACAGACTCTAGCTCTACTTCATTGGGCACTACAAACATTGCCACGCTAAACACCTTTATATATCCTGGCATATGAGTGCTTTTGTTTACTTCTGTGGGAAAAATCCTTACGAGTAAGATTGTTGGGTTGAACAACTTATCATTGACAGTATGTATATGTAAATTTTTTAGATTTTTTTTCCATATTGCTTTCCAAAAAGGCAGTATTGATTCTCTTTTTCACCAGTAACATATGAAAATAAACTTTCTTTTCACTCCTACTAGTAGTAGGTATTAATATTCTTTTGAATTTTTGCCAATCTGATGGGCAAGGAGTTCCTTTAATTTGCTTTTCCCTGAGTACTAGGAGGTTGGGCCATATGTTTATTGGCCGTTTGGGTTTACTCTGCTCTGAGCCTATTCATGTCCTGGGAACATTTTTCTATCAGGTGCTTTGTCTTTTTCTTAACAATTTGTAAGAGCTGGAAATTAACTCTTTATCTGTCATAGGCATGGCAAATATCTTTTTCCCAACTTGGTGTTCGTCTCTGAACTTTGTTTATGGGAATCTTTGGCCACTAAGAAAAGGTTAAATTTTATGTAGTCATAAATTTCCACCTCCAATGATGACAGAATACCTTGAAAAAGATTGTCTAACAGGTAACAGTTATAAACTTTGGATAAAATATTTAAAAGGCTAGGCAAAAGTACTGAAAGTGACCCAAACCAGGCAGAGATTGGAGAGACTGACGCTTGGAAGAAGGGGACAACACTCAAGGGGTGTCTGATTTTTATATCTTTGTGCCTAAAGGCGGGCCTCAGGCAGTGCTGTGTGAGTCAGGTGAAAGGTGGATAGAAATTCGCATTCTTACTTGTTGAGCAATCAGAGGACAGAATGTGAGGCTTCCACAGAAGTTGGAAGGTGGTCCCATACAGGAGAAATCCATGGACGGGATATTCCAAATTTTGCTTACCAACTTGACCCAAACCTCAGGGTATTTTCTGAACTATGAATTCAGTGGAGAAACTCTGAAGTCTGACTGTGGCTTCTGAACAGAGATTCAGCTGTTGCCCACCACAGGCAAGAGTGGCTTTGGAGTTTGAGTTCAGCCAAGTTAACTGCCTGTAAAATTAAAAATTTACAGTCTTCCAGAGGAACATAATAGACTCCAGTCTCTACAACTTATCATAGGCAGTATCCACAATACAACCCCAATCACTAGACATATGAAGAAACAGGAAAATGTGACCCATATTCAAG